ACAATAAGTCTCTGATAATTCTATGATCAGGTAGTAATAACCTCTTCTTTTTACAATGTTTTTCAGTGGTATTATGATGACGTTCAATCGTTCCCAAAAGATCTTTTAGAAAAGTTTATTCAAAGCGATCTTGACRAAGAAACAAGAGAGTTTCTACAGAATTCATGTGACAAGTCTGATGCTGTGTTTACTCAGTTTGGACACATGATGTTCAGAGGAYTAACAAATCTTTTTATGTCTATAACTACTATCAATGGGTAAGGAAAGTCATCAGTAGTTGTAAATTTGAAAGATTARCACATCAATGCCTCCATTCAATGACCATTGGTACATTAAGTTCAATTTCTATATATTGTTTAAGTATTTAATTATTTTTTAAAACACATATTCATCCTTTTCATGAATGTCATTTTAACCTCCTTGATCATAACGTTTTCTTTTYAGAATTCTTAACAGGGGATCTATGTTTGTCTTCTCGAGTACRCAGTTCAAGAAGCTTTTGAATATTAATAGTGAAAGTAAGAAAAAGAAACTTCTAGATCTTGGAGCGGGTGATGGTAAAGTAACAGCAATGATGGAGCCATTCTTTGATGAGATTTATACAACAGAGCAGTCTCCCTCAATGAGATGGAGACTTCATTGGAAAGGCTACAAGTAAGTATTGCATAGATTTATATTATACTAGTTTTACTTATACATGTAGGTAACTTTGTYATTTTCTTAGGGTGCTTGAACTCAATAAGTGGAAGGATGTAGAGGAACCTTATGATGTCATCAGTTGTTTAAACTTACTAGATAGATGTGACAAACCACTGACATTACTTAAAGAAGTTAGAAAAGCTCTAAAACCTGATGTGGGTAGATTGGTAGTTGCTGTTGTGCTTCCATTTCACCCCTGTGTTGAGTCAGGTTTGTTATTTTTTTAGAAAAAAAAAATCTTCAAAAACATATATCCATTACCAAAATTTTAGCAAAAAAAATAACCTGGCTTGACTCCAGTCATCTATCTCTCTCCCCCTTGATACTTTAAATGTGTACACAAGGTTAGATCACTGGGAACAAGTCAGCAGTATAATCTTGAAGTCTGACATTTCTGCTGGCATTGCTTTGTTCATGGCTATCTTTTGTCACATTCCTCACTTTATTTATTGCTATAATTTTACATTTCTTCTA